AATGTTTGCGTAGCAAACAACCGTGGAAGGTAGATACGATGTCTCCCTCCAGAGCAAAGGCAGCCAAGCTTCCTGCCCCTGAAGAGATTGGAGTCCCTGAGGTGGTCAGAGCTCCTCCCCAGCCCTCCCCTGCACTGCAGCCTGCTGGGTGTGCCCTCTCTGGGCCCGTGCATGTCGCCCCAGGAGGACTTGGGGCCGAGGGAGCCAGCACAAAGATGGTGGTGCCCGTGCTGCGGGCTCTACCGTGAGGAATAAAGCCCTTTGCCTCTGAACCAGGAATCTCCTAGCCTCTGCCTGCATCGGGCAGTCTGTCGGCTTGCGAGGAAGGTAAACTCAGCCCTTCCAAGTTCTCCACACCGACTGAACGTCCTTTCAACGTTTGCCTTTAGCTTGCACATCCCCAGCTTTTAGGCCGCTCAGTCTTGCTGACTCTATGTACGTGGCTATGTGTGGCTTTACCTGATTCACTCTGCTACCCGCAAATGGCCAGCTCAGAGCAATGTTAAGAGCTGAGAACAATTAAGAAATACCTTTAAGAACAATACCAATGCTTTCTGTTGCCAGCTGTAATCTTCTATCTGCTCGGACCCTTAAATGAGTGACTGTTCCCTAGTAGCCTTTGATACCTTCCGGTAAGTTCCAGTGCTGGGTTTGCCATGTGTGTCTCTCTCTCTCTTATGAGCTGATGCGTCCTAGCAGGCTCGCAGGCAACGAACATTTCCACCAGCCCCCCTCGTTTCCCCACACTCACAAAGGAAGGCGAGGCAGTTTTCTTAAGCTAACGATATCCTTCTCCGTGACCCCACACGTATGACCTTAAACCACAGCTTGGCTTCGAGAACTGGTTCCTGGTTTGGGCCTTCGTTCAGCATTTTCTGAACCGAACCCCAGTCCTCTGTGGGAGCAAAGGTCGTCTGCAGGTGCACTGCTGGCCACAGAGCAGAAAGGCCCATGGAGCAAAGCCGCAGAGCAAGACAAGTCCCTCTGTAGGCCTGTGAACGTCAAGAGTCGGGTTAACATCTGCACGGGCTGCCGGTGGGCGGGAGGGCCACACACCTGACCCCGCGTCGACCTGACCCCGAGTCATGGAATATTCACATGTCCTGTCCTGCTCTCTGCCGCTCCACCCGTGCGTGGCAACCAGGAGGAGAATCGGCGTTGTGGCCAAGGGGCCAGGCCACGGATGGTACAGGGGCCACACGCTCAGGCTTTATTGGAGAGAAGCTTGCGGGCGAGGGTGAGCACCTGAGGCCCAGCTGTAGCCCACGGTGACCCACGGAGCAGCCGTGACAGTAGTCTGTCTTTCTGCGGCTGACACATGGACCCCGTTTGGGCCCTGACAGGAGTCACGGATGGGTGCGTAATTGAGGGGTGTCAGAGAGCTGTCAGCCCGGATGTGCCCCGTCTGCTTCTGACGGCTTGGCCTTTCCAGCCCTGCCCATCTATGGTGACGTTTTTGCTCTTCCTTCCTTTTCAGCATGTGACGTGTCTTCCAGGCTACGACCCATCTCCTTTTTAAAAAAGCTTATTTTATTTATTTTGAGAGAGAGAGAGAGAGCACGTGAGCTAGGTAGGGTCAGAGAGAGGGGGAGAGAGAATCCCAAGCGGGCTCTGTGCCGTCCCCAAGGGTGTGGCCCTTTGCCGTGGGGGCCCGAGCTGACACACCAACTCCAGCTGAAGGAGAAAGCAGGGACAGAGTTATCTGGCTTCAGCGTGTCACTGGAGCCCCGCCAGCCTCGGGGTCAGGACACGCCCCCACCCCCACCCCCACCCCCGGCCTGGCCCCTCTCCACGGTCCCCCCGCGCCTGTCCCGGGAGCTCTACGTCACGCCTTCTGAGATTCCGGGTCTGCTCCAGGGCTGACGGAGACAACTCTCTTCCACGCCAGCTGTCTGCCTACAACACCCCCCATCCCCCCCAGACGTGAATCCCTGCCCAGGGAGGCTCCCTGCAGTGCTTCGAGGATGCGGAACGTTCTGGGAGTTCCCCTGAATTGCTGACTTCCAGGCTGGTGGGAAAAGGGCAGCATTTGGACGGGAGGGACAGCTTTGCAGGGCACTAAACGGATCAAGTTGGCATTTTAGCTTCACGTCTGGTAAACCCAAGACCACTTTAAGCAGACATATCATTCCGTTGCCTGTTCGGGAAAGCAAAATAGAAAAACCATAACTCTTCCCACTGCCAAGCGATGCACGCAGAGCAGTTGCCAGGTGGCCTCCTCTCCTCTGACAGGAACCCAGGGCTGTGACGAACGCAGGGCTTCAAACGGCCACCCTTGGCTGCTTTCCCCAGGCCCTTTAAGAGCCCAGTGTGAGTGTGTGTGAGTGTGTGTGTGTGTGTGCACGCGTGTGAGAGACACGTCCCTCCTCGTGCCTTATCAGCAGAACTGTTCCCACGAAGGCGCTTTATTGCCACAGCTGCCTGCTTCCCACCCCCTCCGGCACTTCAAGGACTCAAGGGGCCCTGGGTTGCCGCCACCAGGCCACCCGGATGCCTGCTGCTGGGAGTGGGGGGGCTGGGGGCTGCCCTGGGGCCTGGAGGGGCCTAGGAAGGGGCGGGGGGGGCCAGGGAGAGGCCAGGACAGGACCTAGAGAGGCCCTGGAGAGAACCTGGAGGGGCCGCAGGGGGGCCAAGAGGGGTCAAGTAGAGGACTGGGGGGGCTGGAGGGGCTGGAGGGGCTGGGGGGCTGGAGGGGGCTGGGGGGGCTGGGGGTCTGGAGGAGCTGGGGGGGCTGGAGGGGCTGGAGGGGCTGGGGGGGCTGGAGGGGCTGGGGGGACTGGGGGGGCTGGGGGAGCTGTGGGTGCTGGGGGGGCTGGGGGGGCTGGAGGGGCTGGAGAGCAGCCTGGGAGGGTGACCATAGGTCCACCCCATGGGCGGTGGTGACTTCTGTGTGTTCCCAGCGCTGAGGGCACAGCCCCTCTCACCGCCGCAGAGCCTCTCTATTCTGCCATGCCCCCTCCTCTCCCTCCTTGACCCCGAGGGGAAAGCTGCACCGCCCCCAGTGCCCCTGACCCCTGCTCCAGCCTCTGCACCCACTGTCACCCCTGGGGCTCCACAGCCCATGCAGCAAACCTTCAGGGAGCCGCGGGCCGCCAAGGGATGGAGGGACTGAGGGACAGAGGGACAGACACAGGTCGGCCTGCACTGAGTGTACCCGAGGCACTTCGAGACCTGGAGTTTTCGGGGTGCCCCACCCCTCTGATATGTCAGGACCCCGCTGGTGGCCTGAGTGTTCCCTCGCCCTCCCCGCAGCTGCAGCCCGCTGGCCGATTCTTAGACCCACTGCGATTTCCCACAAGGGTGGAGTAGCAGACACCAAGCCCAGCCTCCCTGGCGCCCCACCTCCCGGTCAGGGACAGCAGGACGTGAGCCCCCTCGGGAGGCAGGGCCGTCCCTGCGGAGTCCCGGGCTCTCTCTAGTGTGGGGTCCAGACCGTGGAGCCGAGAGCCCAGAGCCGCGCACTCTGGGTGGCCCACGGTGGGGGCTGGATCCGGATTTCCCCCCGGAATGTGCAGGGAGGGGGCCTAGCTCCACTGCCGGCCATCGGCCCCTTCCCTCCCTCACCGGGCGGGAATCTGGGGGAAAGCAAGGAAGGTGTGGACACAGCCGGTCACCTGGCCGGGGGCCCTGCCTGACACACCTCCAGGAGGGAGGCCCGTCGCTGCCGGACACCCCCAGCCACGGGAGCATGCAAGTCAAGGTCGACATGTCACAGAAAGTGCCACTTGCACTCAGCTCTCTGGGCGAAGGAAGGGAGACATCTCACTGTCCAAGCCCCCGCTGCGCCGGTCCCTACAGAGACCTCATCTATTGTCCGGCAAGTTAGGTCCCGCGTGACACGGGAAGGAACCGTATGGGGCTGCTCTGGGATCCCATCTCTTCCACCTCCACCTTTCTCTTGCTGCATCCTTGAAACCATCGGGAGACCTGGGGGGCCTGTGATTCATGAGGGTGGCTGGGCTGGTGGGGCGGTGCCTGCTCACGAGGGAGACTGGTAAACATTCTCGGCCCCTCCTCGTCAGTTGGTTTTGAAAACCTAAAGATACACGGCTTTTAACGCACTGGCAATGCCTGCTGCTCACCCCTGCTGCAGACCCCGAGGCTTCCCGCTGAAGCCTGAGTCACGCGAAGGGCTTAGTGAGAAGTCGGGGTGGAAGGCCGGGTGTGAAGGAGGGAACAAATGTGTTGCCTGCTCCTTTAACAGCTCAAGGGAGGACTCAGCCTAAGGACTTCCACGTTGGGTGAGAGTTTGCTGCACACCCCCTTCCCTGTGGTGGCTGGGCCTTGGTGACGTGTTGTCAGGGAACAGAAAACCCAACCAGCAGTGATTTAACCCATCAGGACACTTAGGTTTACTCAACATGAAGTCTCAAGGTGGGTGAGTCAAATCAGTAGCCCAGGGGTGTCAAACCTCTAGGTCTATGTCTTTTCCTCCTTAGCTAAGAATGGCTGCTTGAAGCAGCACATCACAGCTTCAGACCACACAACGTCCAAAGGCAGGCTGTAGAGCCCAGCCGGGGCAGGCAGAGGGCGCTCTTTTCCCAAGGAGGAAAAGTCATTCCCAGGAGCCTCCAGGTAGATGCCCTTGTACCTCCTGAGTCAGAATGAAGGCCGTAGCTTCCTCCAGCTAACGGAGGCGGGGAGAGGGAGTACCTGCCTCTCCTTCTGTAGGGTGGAGGTCAGGTCAGAAGGTGGGGATGAGTGGCAGGTACCGGGGAAAGGCCTGGTGTCTGTGTCCTGGGGGAAAACCCGCCCCTCTGGCACTGGGGACCAGACCAGCTGCACTGCCCAGGACGCTCGAGCTTTGCACAAGACAATCTAACCGGCTTGTGGGTTGACACCGACTGCTGACCCACGCTGAGGCCGCCTTGGCGGCACTGTGAGCGCTTCACCCCCTCCTCTGGCCCCGCGCCCCCAGAGGCCACAGGCGGAAATGGTGTGCCCCCCTTTCAGATAAAGTCCAACCATCTGCGGTTTTTAATAAGAACTGAAAACACGAGTGATGTCCATCTCTTTTAATCTTTAAGCCAATTTTGAGTAGGGGTGTGTGTGTGGTCCGTCCACGCAGCGAGCCAAGGTGCAGGTGTGGAGGCCCTGAGGACCCGTGAGCCACTCGGCCCCTGGGGAGGCCATGGCAGCTCCTGGCGAGGCTCGGCCGAAGCGCGTCTACAAGGAACACTCCTCTGAAGGGCGAGGCGTGGGGAGAAGAGGCGAGGCGGTGAGAACCCGTGCTTCCCTCATTTGTAAACACCCACAGACATTTGAGTCAGCAGCACAGAGGGGAGATGTCCTGAGAAACTTGCACGGCCTTCCTACGGTGGGTGGCGTTCCCTCCACTCCCACCGAGGGGCAGGGCAGGAGCACCCCGGATTCTTCACGCCTTCTTTTAGCCACGTGAAGAAAAGCCGGGGACGGTTAGGGCTCCTTGCCCGGCAGTCCTTCAGCCGGGTCTTTGGGTCCCCAGCCCGATGTCAGCCTGATGCCACCTCCCCACGGCCACCCCGCAGCCCCTGTTGTGCCCACAGACACGGCTGGCAGTGGGGACCGGGGCCCCGCGCGCCCACGCGGTGCCGTCACTCATCCTACACCTTGGCCCACAGAGCCGCCCGGGCCGTACCTTCGGGAGGGTTGTCCACGGGCTCGGGGCGGAAGCACCACGGGACCCCACGCACGGTGTTGTCGAAGCAGCAGCCTTTATCTTTGCACTGGGAAGGTGTGATTCCCGAAAAGCCGCAGTTTGATCTTTTGTGAGGATCCACGTCGCACGTCTCTGAAAGCACAGGGGACGAGAGAGGTGGAAGTCAAGTCCCGGGCGGCCGTCTGCCCTCCTTCTGTTGAGTCAGCAGCCAGCTGGTGCCGCTGATGGAGGCTCAGGGCTCAGGGCACGAGAGGGACACCCCGTCCCCCATCTCCTGATGTGAAGACACAGCGGCTCAGGGCAAACGCAAGGTGCCCGGGATCTGTAAGCTTCACGCCCACCGACAGAATTCACCGATGCGTTCATTCATTCCAACAAACAAGAACTTCGCTTAATCGCTAATACCTACGGGGCACCGTTCGTGCGTGCTAGAAACAGAAGTTGGCACAGCAAAATGAGACAGTGAAGGTCAAGCTCATGCCGGGCCCTGTGCCAGGTGCTGGGGACCCAGAAATTAAAAATAGGACAGTCGTTGTTAAGAAGCTAACAGCCTAAGCGGGGCGCCTGGGTGGCTTAGTCGGTTAAGCGTCCGACTTTCGCTTAGGTCATGATCTCGCGGTTCGTGGGTTCGGGCCCCCGTCGGGCTCTGTGCTGACTGCCAGCTCAGAGCCTGGAGCCTGTTTGAGTCTGTATCTCCCTCTCTCTCTGACCCTCCCCTGCTCACGCTGTCTGTCTCTGTCTCTCCTAAAAATAAATAAAAACATTAAAAAAAAATAAAAAAAAAAAAAAAAAAAAAAAAAAAAAAAAAAAAAAAAAAAAAAAAAAAAAAAAAAAAAAAAAAAAAGAAGCTAACAGCCTAAGGGACGAGAAAGCTAAGTAAATGCACAGCAGAGCAGAGTGTGACCGTCCCCGGTGCTGAGGGCGAGCCCGGGAGGGACATGGACCAGACTGAAGGAAGCACGCGGGGTTCCCAGGCGGGGACGGAGCCGTGGGGGTGTCCCGCCGCGGGGGCAGCGTGGCCAGAGGCAGTCAAGGGAGAGAGCAAGGTGCCTGTCCGGAGGCGGGGGATCATTTGTGGGGAAGACACAGAGGCTGGCCTGGGGGGATGCCCGCAGCCACTCAACAGCTTTACCCGGCGTGGGGGCACCCTCTGCAGGATGCCAGCCCCCCCGGGTCTGGCTGCGCACCCAACAGGGAAGGTGGCGCTGCCCAGCCACGGGGAGGTTGTGAAGCCAGGGAGAGCTGTGTGCGCGTGCGTGTGTGAGCGTGTGTGCACGTGCGTGGGCACGCACAGAGGCAGCTCTGTGTCCTTCCCCTGCCAGAGGGCAAGCGGCAGCTGGGCGGAGGGGTGGGGGGCTTGCTGGGCGACGCAGCCCCTCCCAGCTGCTACTGCCCGATGGGGACTCGCGGTTTCCAAGCTTCTGTCCACCCTTCACTGTTGCCTGACGGAACTGCGTGGAAATGACTCCCACCGGGCTCTGCTTGCCATCAGTTTCCAGAGCCCGTTGTGACAGGGTTGCTGACCCACAGAGGGTAGACTCTCAGGCTGGAGGGCAGAGCCAGGCAGGCAGGGGTAAGAGGGACCTGGGGCACCCGTGTGGCTGTGTCCCCGCACCCTCGGCCGCAGACCCGCGTTTCCTCCAGGCCTGAAGCCAGCTTGTCCCTGCTGGCCTGAGCCTGTCCCTGCCTTAGGGACCTTCCCAGCTGCCACCTTGATATACACCCCCTTCCCATACACCCCGTTGTCTGTGGTTCATCATCAGGTCCCCGGAATGCACACAAAATGCACGGAAACCGTGGTTTTGTCTCCCTTCTCCTCAAACCTCGATGGAAATCTTTGTTTTGAGAACCTGGGAGCAGCGCCTGGGGGCTGGTCCGTTAAGCATCTGACTCCTGGTTTCGCTTAGGTCATGATCTCACGGTTTGTGGGTTCGAGCTTTGCACTGACAGTGTGGAGCCTGCTTGGGATTCTCTCTCTCTCTCTCTCTCTCTCTCTCTCTCTGTCTCAAAATAAATAAATTTTTTTTTTAAAAACCAACCTGGGGAAATCTTTTACAACAGTGTCTAATGACAACGTATAACACTGAACAGAGTACAGCTTTTGCGCTCACCACATCTCCTGGCCTTTGGGGGCTGGCGCCCGGCTCCCAGGTCTGGGGGCTGAGACACCGGTTCAAAGGAGCAAGGTGCTGTGACCTGTGGCACCCATGGGACCCGAGGGGGGCCTCAGGGGACACCCATCCATGGAACGGGCATGTGGCATCGGGGTGGCTGTGCCCAGAGCCTGGCTGGGATGTGCGGGGAGCTGGTCTAGACGGCATCTCTGACGTCACTTGTGGGGTTATGGTGCTGGGAGTGGTCAGTGCTGGAGACACTGGGCTGCCACCCGGGGGGCCATCCGCCTCCTCCTAGCAGTGCTCTGGGCCTCCGTGGCCTTTGACCTCTCTGCTTTCCACCTGCCTTCACCCTCCTAGGATGAAATCCTCCGGGGGCCTAGAAAGTGCTCAGCTCAAATAGGTGTCCCGTGACGCAGGGTGTCCCCCGGGGGCTGACCAGGGCCTGGCGCCCACCGTGAATCGGGGAGAAGGCTGCTTACCCAGCTGGCCCTGGGCCAGAGAGCTGAGGGCCAGCGTGAAGACCAGCACCACGACGCAGATGACCCTGGGCTCCATGGCGGCCGTGACCTTGTTCTCTGCTCCACCGGAGACTGCGAATGAGAGTGAGAGCCCGTCCAGGCTCTGGGTTTTATGCACAGGCTCTGTTTGCCTAACGAGCGTTAGATAACATTTGCCTAAGGAGGTCCCACAATCCTCCGCTCCGCATAATCTGCACTGAGCAGTTTGCTGTTGTCCTCGCGGCTGAGGGACTTCAGAAGGTCCCTCCTGGGCCGTGGGAGTCTCCTGGGCCGCGACCCCATCCAGCTCCTGACCGCAGCGGGGGCCCTCCTGGCAATGTCAACATTAACTCACCAAAGAGTGAGTCACGGGAGAGGTGGCCCGAGAAAGCACACGTGTGTCAATAGAGGCTCACGGGGTCACACTCCGTGGGGTCACCTGACTTGGGGGATGGGGAGGGAGCAGATAGGACCCGACGTGGATCCTCTGAGAGTCCGAGAATCCAGGTGGGGGGTGGTGGGAGAGCCTCCATCCCTCACCCCCGGGCACCCAGGGCTTCAAACGTCTTCTTTTCTCCAGGAGTTCGGTCCCTGTTGCGCGTTTCTGTGGCAAAACGCTACGTGACCAAAGCACCATGAGGTCCCTCACAGAGGAAACGTGGCCCCCCGGGGTCTCACGCCCTGCTCGGCACTGACATTGAGAACTTGGAGATTTTTATTTAACATCCCACTTGGGGGACGTGCCTGAGCACTTTTACTTATTTACTCAAATTAATTTTTTTTCTTTTTTTTCCTTTTACAGCAGAGTTCTTCAAAACCCCCCAGAATGTGTGTAGATCCAAGGGGTCGTCTGAACCGACCGAGTAGAGATGTTCCTCCCTCTGGGGGACCCCTCTCCCCATCTCAGGCCCCCCAGTGAGGCCCCCTCGACTTTGTGCTCAGGAGTGACCTGCAGCCTATGCTCTCCCGGCCCCCCCTGCTCCGGGTCTTCTGTCCCGAACTCCTTGCCGTCCCCGGCGCACAAGGGACCTCGCTCTGTCCCCCAGAGAATGGAAGGTCCGTGGGGGCAGGGGTTCTCTCTATTCCCCGCATTCAGGAGGCCCAGCACTGACAACCATCCTTATTCAATAGATATCTGTGAAAGAATGAATGAGTGAATGAATGAGCAATAGGAGAAATCGTTTGTCCTCGCTGAAAGATGAGGCTCTGAGAAAGACTAGCCTTGGAGACGCACTGGCTTTTCTTGTGACCTGGTGAATGCGTCCTGGCGGCCCCTCTGGGAGGGGAGCCCCCACCCTGAGCCCGGCCGCCAACCGGGGTCTCCAGGAGCGGCCCCATGCACTGGACTGGGGAGGACCAGGGCCCGGAGGTGGGGGGGGGCTGCATGGCAGTGATGCTCACGACAAAGGAGACCCGCCACTAACTTCTCAGCGTGAAGCGGGAGCGCTCTGACGCAGAAATGCAAACTGCACAACAGTTTGGAGAAAAGCGTGTGACGTTCAGTGGAGGTGACACAATCTGCTCCCAGGTCTGCTGTGTCCCCAGGGAAACCCCCACATAAGGGCAGAAGGAAACACGGACAAGGACCAGTTTTGCAGCAGTGCCTGTAATACCTTCCCAAAAAAATGGAGGAAGAAAGAAAGAAGCTTTAAAAAAAAAAAAGGAAGAGAAAGAAAGAAAGGAAGGAAGGAACAAAGAAAAGAAGAAAGAAAGAAAGAGAAAAAGAGAGAAAGAGAAAGGGAAAGAAAGAAAGGAAGGAAGGAGGGAAGAAAGGAAGGAAGAAAAAGAGAGAAAGAAAGAAAAGGAAAGAAAGAAAGAGGAAGGAAGGAAGGAAGGAAGGGAGGAAGGAGGGAGGGAGGGAGGGGGAGGGAGGGAAGAGGAAAGGCGGGGGAGGGAGGGAAGGAAGAAGAGAAAACAATATAAATGTTCGTAAATGATTATTGACAAGGGAAAAGAGAAAGGATGTAAAGCGTATGCACATCAAATACCTTGCAGACGATGAAAATGAGAAAACGGAAATGAATAAATATTGAAACAAAGCTGAATGGGAGTATAAGAATGACCTCTACAGTGTGACCCCATTCAGGGTGCAGATTTCCAAGGTCAGCAAGGAGCACAGAGTGAGAGCCACCCCACAGGGGCCGAGCTTGCAGGGTGCGCAGGGGGCCAGGTTGTGACCTGTGTCTGGGACGGGGGACGGGAGGGCCATCGGAATGTGGGAACGTGCATCGTGTTCCCTTGGCGATGGCAGATGGGGGATGGGAGGGAAGTGTGGTGGAGAGGTCAGCAGCCATTCATTTAAGGAGGCGCAGATTCACGGGGGTGGGCTCCCCTGTATTTGCGGTGATCCCTGCTCCCTGGCAAGCGGTGGGCGGGGGCTTCGCTGGTGCACTGGGGGCCCGGGCCCTGTGACTGGGTGGTGGGCTGGGAGCTGGGGCGCTGTGACCTGGCCAGTGTGCTGGGGGGCAGGGGAGCTGTGATGGGGGATGGCTGGGGGCAGGTGCCCCTTGACTGGGGGGTCCCGGGGGCAGGGGCACTGTTACTAGGGGTGTGTGGCTGGGGGCAGGGGTGCCATGACTGGGAGTTCCTGGGGGCCGGGTGCTGTGACTGGGGGGTCCCGGGGGCACCGTGCCTGCGGGGTGTGGCTGGGGCCCTGGCGGCTGTAACACCTCTGGTGATCGCCCAGGCGGGAGACACACAACATCGCACGATGGCCTTATACACTGTTTTGGGGGGGTTGCTGTTGTCGTTGTTGTAAGGCCAGTTCAGTGGAGCAGCAGAAGCACTGAGCGCTGGCCCACAGGGAGAGATATAAAAACGGGAGCCAAGCAATGCCTGAGGCTCCATAAGCCGGGAGAAGGGTCTGGAACAGATTGGCTCTCGAGAGAAACTAACCCTGGTAGCACCTTGGTTTGGGACCTCCAGCCTCTGGGCTGTGCGACAGTACGTTTCTGTTGTAAGTTCAGTTTGCAGTGCTGATCCAAGCGGGGCGACGGCACCAGAGAAAGGAAGCATTCAGACTTTCTGACGGTCCTGAAATATTAGCTCTGAAGACCACTAACGCTGAGACCCAAACCCATGTGAGTCACCAAAGAGGGGTCCTGTGGATTTCAGGCACCAGACGGGGTCTTGGCCCAAGTGTGTCCCCCATTATGGGTCCCTTGGGGACCCCCCTGGGCCCAGAATGTAAATTGGGAAAAGACACACTTAGCAGCTACATTGCCTCTCTGTCCTTGGGGTGAGGGATGATATGGCAGAAGTCCCTCACCAGGACTGTCCCCAAACCAACGTCACAGTCCAAGAGGGAAGTGCAGAAATCGATGTCACCTTCAAGGACCTGGAAGACCTGGCGGTGGTCATTCCATATGCCTGTTGATGTGGCCCGTCTGCCGGTGCTAAACCGTGGAGAATGGCTACATAAATGTAATTGCAGCTGAGGCTTGAGATGGGACAGCTTTTCCTGGAGCACCCCTCCCCCACCCCCTGCCCAGGTACCTGATTTGCAGCCATTGACCTGGAAAGTGCCTGCTCTTTCCCCCTTCCCTGAAGAAAAGGCAGTCGACGGGATTTTGCTATTGTGTGACCCCCAGGCCGCAATATACTCCCCCAGTGTGGTTTCTGCTAGCTGTCCTGCTCTGTGAGAACACTCTGGAGACAGCTTGGACATCCTGCCGGCCCGCTCCACTGATGACACGAAGTTACGTCGACCGGATCTGGAACACAGGATGGAAGATGCGTTCGTAAAGCACGCGTGTGTCAGAAACTGGAACTGCAGAAGTTCAGGGCCCCGGGCTGTTAGCGGGGTGCTTAGGAGATGTGGGGCAGTGCAAACCTTCTCTCTACGGGGGAGATAAACCTCTCTGCACCTGGACCCACTCACCCCAACAACTGCACTTGGGCCTTTTGGACGTTGGAGGTGTCATATACCAGATTTGGACGTTCTCTTCTGGCCCGTCTGCCGGGCTATCAGTAAAGTTTGCGGTTTCCAGAGGACATCAGAATAGCAAGCTCCTCACAGGAGTGGGTCGGGGCCATGACACAAGAGCCCTGACCCTTGGGCCCGGGGGGCCGATGTCTTGAGTAGTAGGCACTGCAGATGCGGACACTGCAGGGTCCGGTCCCTCTGAGCCTGCAGCTGCCGGCCGCCCACGCTGTGAATTTACAGAGCACAGAATCCACGGCATGTGATACAGAGCAGTGCGGTGCGGGGCAAGGCACTACAACGACGGGCAAGTAATTCACCGGTCCTTCCGCGTGCCGCAGTAGGCCACGGCAGAACGTGGCCTCATGTGCTCGTCGGGCCGCTGGTGGCCTGCGTGTCACCCGATGCCGTAGACCAGAGCAGTAGATGGTTCCTTCTCAGCCGAAGTGCCCATGTCCGGGCACCAGGCAACAGATGATTATAGGACGGGACTCCTGGAGGAAATTTTGCTTCTCGTGCCCATGACGGTGGCCCTGGTGGGCTGGAGTGCGATTGTCCACGACAGGCTGGCTTCCACTTGGGAACACACTCCTAGGCCCATTGAATTGGCCGTGGGGACTGCCGTGTGGGCCTCTTCCTGCCCCCGAAGCAGCAGGCAGTGGAGGAGGAGTGACTGGAGTCACTGGTCCCCATCACCAAGGGGCATGGTGCTTCGCCGCACAGCGGGGTCTGGGAAGACGATGCTTGTAGCCCCAGGGAGTCGCTGCGGCGTCAGCACTGCCTCACCCCGAACTGCCTCGATGGGGAACAAGCAAACCAGGACGGACTAGACCCCTCGTGGACGCGCATCCTATAGATGTCCACATCTGGGTGACCCTCTCGGGGGAAAACCACGTCCAGCTCAAGTGGTAGCAGGTAACGACGGAGCAGGAGGTTGGGAAGGAAGCTAAGAGACCGACTTTGACGTCTTAACCAACGATCGGAGCAGTTACCGTAGCAACGACCTCTTGTGTAAAGTAAAGAAAATGTCAGTAAGTCCTTAACTAATTTCCGGAAGGTTTAGGTTTTTCTAAGCCTTGTAACGAGAAGAGAAATCATCTAAATGTATGTAACGTATGTAGGTTGAGAAGAAACTTGGCTACGTAAGGTATGTCAAACTTTGGATATAAAAATATGTTAAAACTATGAAGTTTATAGTACATAGAGTGAACAAAGGTTTAGCAACTGTGAGACATAAACATCTTACGCATGTCGAAATTTAAAACCCTGGAGCTCCCCTGGGTACAGAGGCAAAGAACAGGAACCCAAAATTCTTAGAAGACAATATGTAAATGCCTAAGAGATACAAGAAAGGTGAGAAGAATAATTAGTAGTCAAAGAAATAATTTACAAATAACTGTAACAGGGGCGCCTGGGTGGCTCAGTTGGTTGAACATTCAATTCTTGGTTTTGGCTCAGGTCACGATCTCACAGTTCATGGGATTGAGCCCCACATCGGGCTCCGTGTTTGGTGTGGAGCCTGCTTGGGATTCTCTCTCCCTCTCTCTCTGCCCCTTCCCTGCTCTCTCTCTCTCAAAATAAATAGACTTTAAAAATAAATTAATCAATTAAAAACATAAAATACAATGACTGTAACAGTTTAATTCTGAAGAGGCCATGGTTGGAGCTGAATATTGGCATTTGGAGCCTCAATCCATGGAAGGGGTGCTGAGCCCTGACCTTTCTTCTCGGAGCGAGCAAGGTGGTGGCAGCTGGGGCAGGGCCACGTCAGGGAGGAATAAGCTTCCCTGTGTTCACCATTTCTGTTCCCTTCACGGCCAAGTCTGCATCCCCCTAACCTGCACTGCATGGTCTTGGGGTTTCTGGGTAGGACAGAGACTCAAGGGGCAGGAATGGGTGGCTCCCCCCGTGAGGTTGCTGAAATCTCTGAGATAACAGACGCCTTGCACCACCCCAGATCTGTGTTTGACTTCAGGGAAGGTGCCAGGAAACAGATCTTGGGGCAAACACATGGGGGTGTGGCCCATGGGGAGCCCCGCGCGGTCCAACACGCCTCGCTTGCCTGGCTCACCGACTGCCGGCTCAAGGGAACGCTCCCCTTTCTTTTGGGGGAGAGCAAAGTCTTTACACCTGCCTCATACGAACACAGTACTTCCGATTATAAAGTCGGTTGTGCTCATGACAGAAACAGTTCGATGACCAGTAAAGCAGATTCCTGACGTGACTCACCGTTGTGCCGCCCAGCGATACCCACTGCTGCTTCTCCTTCTTTTTCCTGCTGAGTTGTCCTTCGACCGCTTTGTCTTGTTCTTTTTGGTTCAACCAGAAAAGTCTCCACGTTATTGCAAATTCCATACAATGAACTACTGACGGCCCCATAATGGTTCCTTGAGCCGTCATAGCCGAACTTCCTCAATGATTCTGGTGTCGTGGGTCATTGGGTTGCTTACAAGTGTTCGCAATTACTGAGATTTCTTTCATGAAGGTCTTGTGCAAAACGATTTTCTCTGTGCTTAGGACGGTCTCTTTGGGGCATCCCCCAAAGTACCTTCACTGGGTCTGGGAGCGTGCTCTTCCTAAGGCTCATCGAACATGGCCCCACGCTGACTTCCACAACCGCTATGTTCATTTCCACTCGCTCTGGACGGAGGGGTCCATTCACCCCCCTGCCAGCAGCGCTGCATCTCCTTATTAAAAACCAAAATTCGACGTGACTGGCTTGAGCACGGGCACCCCTGAGGCGGCCCCGCTCCACTTGTCACCGCTCGGCTCCCTCGGAGATGGAACGCCAGGACTCAGCGCCCCCTCCCGTGGCTCAGGTCTCCAAAAACCAACATTGGGCCCCAACCACGGCCTCCTAGGAATTTAAAACTAGCAGTGAGACGGGAGGAGGCCGGTACCAAGTCTGTCACCGGCAAGGTGGCCCTTCCACCCTTCCCGGCTCTGCCAGGCAGAACATCCCGCACGCGGTTAACTCGGCGCCAACCAGGACGGAACAAAGCCCTGTTCCGCCCAGCAGGTGAGTCTGGAATTCATCTGCTGATTCCTCTGTAGGGTCCACAGAACATGGGCTAAGAGGGGGCTCCGAACATCCCCCCATTCATCTGTAGCTCCGTCCCCGTGGTGAGCAGCCTGCCCCCCACCCCCCCCACCCCCTGCCCCGTGGTGCTGACGGCACTCCTCCTCCCTCCCGCAGGCCTGGCTGGAATCTGCCTCTTCTGGCTCTGTGCTCCACCTCTCTGGCCAGAGTGCTGGCGGGTCCAGCCCACAGACTCTTGTTCCCGCGGTCCACCATGATCCCCTCACCAGCACTCGCTGGATCCCCGTGATACAGCCCTGTGGTCAGCTTCAACCACATCTACCCCAGGTGTAGGTGTGCGGGCCCAGTTTCTATTTCACACGGGATTTTCTATCTGGCCCGCACTGTGGGTGTCCGTCCGCGCTCCTGCTGAGCATGGAATAAGAAGAGTTGCTATCATTGGGCAACTGCCAACGATCACAGTTGAGGTCCCTGCTCTGTTCTGAGGCCACTGTGCTATGCTTTTCAAAAGTCCCAGAGATAGGGGGTGCCTGGGGGGCTCAGTTGGTTAAGCGTCCAGCTTGGGCTCAGGTCATGAGTTCAGCTCACAGTTCATGAGCTCAAGCCCTGTGTCAGGCTCTGTGCTGCCAGCTCAGAGCCTGGAGCCTGCTTGAGATTCTGTGTCTCCCTCTCTGCCTCCCCCTCTCTCTCAAAATTAAATAAACATTAAAAAAAAAAAAGTCCCAGAGATGAAGGCAGGGCAAAGAGGGGGCCAGAGCATTCTCCAGTTTTTACAGGCTGACAGGGAGACTCTTTTACTGGACAAGGGCCCTGGGGTTGGTCTGAAGATCCTCAATAAACTTTATTTCAATTTCATACCTTTTGCTCATCTTCCCTTGGCTATTTGCGTCCTCTAAGCATGGTTACCGAGGACTGGATCCTACAGTTCAGGCAAGTCTGATCACAAAGCGATGTTTGGATTACGATGTATAAGGGATTGTGATTTGTAGACCAAGTCCTAGCTCATTGGCTGTGTCCTAGCCTGGCCATCGTGTCCCTGGGGGGCCCCGAGTCCCCGATGACAGGCTGGTACCCCTCTGAGCTAGTTGTCAGTGTTCTGGCTTCTGTGGACACCTCACACCTGCTGGAAGCAAAACCAAAAACGTTTTACCACTTTTATCATTACAGTTGTTACTGGAAGCTTATTCAAAACCAAACCACAGAAACAATCTCCCCCACCCAGGATCCTGCTTCCTCTTCCTGATAACCTGAAAATTTAGCCCAGGCGGGTGATCAGGGAGGGCTGGGGCATGGGGGTGAGATGAAGAGATGGGGAGAGGGTGGGGCCTCACTGCTGCGGTGGCTGCCACTGCGGCACCTGGAAGCCTGCTGACGTCAGGTGCCAGTCACATTCCCGGACACAACCACATAGAGAGTGAACCAGCGCAGGCCAGTCAGCCACCTTCTCTCGGGTGTCACCAGCAATGTCGACATGAGTGACTTTATTTTTAAAATGAGAAACCATTCAAGATTCTCCCCATATTTTCCTCTCTCCCTCACATTCTTGGATACTTTCTTCAATAGCAAGAAAGGTGGTGGTGGAGTTATTGAGCTCAGGGCCAAACTCAGCCCAGTGGGAGAAAGGGGCAGAGAGAGAGAGAGAGAGAGAGAGAGAGAGAGAATCTTAAGCAGGCTCCACGCTCAGCACAGAGCCCAACAGCGGGCTCGATCTGACAACCCCAGGGTCATGACCTGAGCTGAAATTAAGACTCAGATGCTTAACCAACTAAGCCACCCAGGCACCCCTAGTGATCTTCTATTTTTTTTAATGTTTTATTTATTTCTGAGAGAGAGAGAGAGACAGCATGAGCAGGGGAGAGTCAGAGAGAGAGGAAGACACAGAATCTGAAACAGGCTCCAGGCTCCAAGCTGTTAGCACAGAGCCCAATGCGGGGCTCGAACTCATGAACTGTGAGATCTTGACCTGAGCCAAAGTCAGACGCTCAACCAACTGAGCCACCCAGGCGCCCCTAGTGATGTCCTATTTTTAAATCCCTGCTTCAAAAAGGAGCCATCATGGTTCTTAAGCATGTCAGTGGAAAGTTTAGACTTGACTTCCAAGTCTGCCCTTCACCCTTGTCATCTTTCCACATAAGGAGATAATGAAAAAATATTTCAAAAGCCTGTCAAAGGGGAACATTGGTTTCTTAGAGCCACGGACCTGGCCTCTCCTTCCAGAGTGGGTATGAGGATGGTGAGAAGAGGAAGGAGACAGTGGCTCAGAATAAAAAATGTGGTGTGTGTATTCTTGACATTTTTATGATAATTATGCAGCTTTAAAACATTATTTTGCATTTTAAAACATCAAAAATATTAGTTCTTACTAAGAAACAGAGCATCAGTAGATGAAACAAAAACTGATTGAGTAGGAAAGGGAACTAGATTACCCACGATTATCACCAGGGACCCCAAGATGCCCTCCCAGCAACTGACAGAGATTCCTGTTAGGGTATCAGCAGAGATGAGGGGATGGGAGCCATACCCCACTAACAGGACCACCTGGTATTTTCAGGACACGCAACCCAACACTAGCAGGGTGCGCACTGTTTTCTAAGTGTCCATGTCCATTCATCAAGGTAGACCACATGCTGGGCCATGAGACAAATCCCAACAAATCTAAAAGAATTATAAAAAAATCACACAAGGTATGTTCTCTGACTGTAACGGAATCAAATGAAAAGTCAACAGCAGACAAGAAAATCTCTAAACATGTAAAAATTAAGTCACACACTTCTAAATAATTTTTATGTCAATAAGGAAGTTTCAAAAGACATTTAAAAGTACATAAAGTGAGTGAAAATGAATACATGACATGAAAACATGTGGGACTCAGCTAATGCAATGCTTAGAGGGAAATCTGTTGCATTAACTTACACTAGAAACGAGAAGAGTTCTCAGATCAAAACCTGAGTTTCTACCCAAACAATTAGAAAAATAAGAGCCAAATAAATTCAAAGCAGTGAGAAGGAAGGTTGAAATCAATGAAATTGAAGGTAGGAAAACAATAGAAAAACCACATGAAACAAAAAGCTCATTCTTTGGGAAAGTCAGTGAAACTGACAAACCTATTGCAAAAGTGAGAACAGGTAAAAGCAGGAAGGCACAAGTAACCTCAGAAATGCAGCAGACATCACTACAGACCCTACAAACATCTATGGATAATAAGGGAATACCAAGAAAAACTTTATGCTCATAAATGCCACAACTTAGTGGAATGGACTAAATCCTTCAAACCCACCAACTACTAAATTCAACTAGGAAGGAACAGATGACTAGAATAGCCCTATAAACACCAAAGAACTTGAACTCATAATTCAAAATGACCCCTAAGAAGTGAAATTCCCATCTAGTTTTAAAAGAAGAATTAATGCCAATTTACACAATCTTTTCCAGAAAAACAAAGATGAATGAACATTTGGAGCACCTGGATGGCTCAGTCGGTTAAGCAGCTGACTTTGGCTCAGGTCATGATCTCGTGGTCTGTGGGTTCAAGCCCCGTGTCGGGCTCTGTGCTGACAGCTCAGAGCCTGGAGCCTGTTTCAGAATCTGTGTCTCCCTCTCTCTCTGACCCTTCCCTGCTCATACTCTGCTCTCTCTCTGTCTCAAAAATAAATAAATGTTTTAAAAAATTTTAAAAAAATGATGAATGAACATTTCTCAACTCATTTTATGAGGCTGGTATTACCCTGATACCAAAACCAAAGACCACACACACACACACACACACACACACACACACACATGCACACACACACACACAACTACAGACCAATACCTCTTATGACTTTAGATGCAAAATTCCTCAGTGAAATAGGAATGGGGTTTATTCCAGCTATGTGAGGCTAGTTCAAAATTGGAAAATAATCAGTGCAATCTCTCTTATCAATAAGCTAAAGAAGAAAAACCATGTGATTATTTCAACTGATATGGAAAAATATTTGACAAAATTCAACAGCTATTCATGACAAAAATTCTTAGCAAGTTAGTAATTGTGGAAATTATCTCAACTTGAAAAAAATGCATCGACAAAACACCTACAGCTGATGTCATACTTAAAAGAAAGACTGAATGCTTTCCCCCTAAGACTGGGAACAAAGCAAGGTGTCTGTCCTCAGTACTCTTATTTAACATAGTCTTAGATGTTTTAGTCATGGAAATAGAGAAGAAAAAGACATAAATTGCATACAGATGAAAAGGGAAGAAATGAAACTATCTGTCTGTAGATGGCATGATCCCCCACATATTAGATCCCAAGGAATCTACACAC